AACCTTAATGATTCTATGATTCTATTCTAAGCCCAAACAATACTTCCAGAAAATTGCAATATCAGGGAAAAATATAAAGCATCTTACAGACACAGGTACAGTATACATGCATTTGTGCATATACCAAATATATCCACAACAGAATCATCATCCTGTTTAATAGAGGAACATTCTTGTATGTCAGTGCATAAAGCATGCTGTAAATAGAGACCAAGGCAAACTTTCATGTTACTATACCTGCTTGTGCTTCTTGATCGTCTAGTTGTGCTGTAGCTTTTGGGGGGAGTTTTAGAACGTTTCTTTTCCTTCTCTTCCTTTTTTTTATCCCTTTCAGTAAAATACAGATTTGAAGTTTAAGTCATTTTCAAACTATTCAAGCAGCATTCACTACTTTTGCTATGTAGGCAAATGAATGAAGACATGACAACTACATTGGATAGCATAAACTGTTCAGTATTTCTGCAGCCAGTCACATTGTATTAACGGAAACACAGATTACAATTATCTACAACAAAATAAAAGAACAGCTCTTTTATAGCTTCTGTGTATGAACAGCACAAAATCTGCAAGTCTAGATGCTCACATTTCCTGCTTTCCACAGGCAGCTACTGAGTGATTCAGCTAATGCCTGCTGCATCTGTTGACTCTTAGGAAAAACATGTTACCTGTTTTTATATAACCAACTGTGCACAAGAATACGGCAAGTATAATATAACTCTGTAAGATGTTACAAGAGACTGTGACTTTAAAAAGAGCCACTAGTTCATTTTGCCCTAGGTTTTTTGTTTGTTTGTGGTTTTGTGTGTGTGGGTTTTTTTTTTTAATTAAGCACCAAAATTTAATAATTTCATTTCTAGCAAATAGAATAGATTTACTGAAGCAATTACCTGGTTTTGGATGTGCTCCTAGACCTTCTGCTTCTCTCTCTGGAATGAGATCTTCTTCGTCTTGGACTTTTAGATCGCCTCCTGCTTCTTGATTTTGAATGGGACCTTCTCCTTGATCTGCTTCTTGACCGTCTACGAGTAATGCATTGCACATGGGAGTTAAATATATGAAATTTTCATATACTATTCAGAATCTATCTGCTCAGTGCTAACGGTACTGTAATGCACAACAATACAGAAAAAAGAATATAGAAAACAGCAAAGGAATCGGACTGAGCCCACCAAGGAAATGGGGAAACAATGTGCACAAACGCTAAATGTCACAGAACAGGACGCTTCAGTCAGCGCTCTTATTACTCTCCTTGTAAGAAAATATCAGTCCTATTGAAAACTGGTAAGTCATGTTGAAATGTGAAGACATTTTTAGAACACTAAACCAAATACAAGCCAATTACTGAATATGCAAATAGCAAAGAAGTACAAATGGGAAGGCCACAGTTAAAACAGCTTTGCACAGACCACTGGCAAGCACCATCTAATTGGAGGTGACAAGCCAACAGCATAAATGAGGGGTATATCCTTCAGTTTGAGTTGGACAATATTAAGATCTCTAGTTAGGATACCTGAACAGACCTGACCTCCAAGTAAATAATAACCTAGAAAACACTGGATAAACTTTTGTCCCAGATACCTCCACTAAATTTTCTGCACATACTTGGAGCCCAAGAGGTAAACATTTATGTACATAAACAGCAAGCCTCCTAGTACTTGGTTTTAAGACAAATTCTAATTACCACATGAGCACACTGGAAAGAGACTGAAGAGAGGTTTAAGGAGCTATTGTAAAATGGACAGCCTACAACGGCTTAGGTGTTCCTAGTAGCGAGGGCTGTGCCAAATGAAGGTTCTGTGCTAAAGTATTTCTTATCTGATACAAGAAATAATTTATTGTTAAATAAAATCAGAGTCCAAGCATTTCTAGGACTACGTGTCCTGAAGTTCTTTCCACAGTAGTTTAAGGTATTTTTGACGTATTTTTTCCTATCATCTCTCTCCCACCCTTTCTACAAAAACAGAGGCAAGCCTCCACCTCACACTACAGTCCAGCCAAACCACAGCCTCAGCTTTCTTCAGATCATTTGCATTCTTCCATATGTCAGCCTCCATGAGTGGTGTCACTTCCAAGAAGTATTTCCAAAGGAATTGTTTCAGCTATGTGTGTTTGGTTTTTTTTGTTAAAGCAAATAAGCTAACTACCTGTGTCTAGATGAAGAAGGTGTCCTCCTCCTCCTTGAGCGTGACCTTGACCTTGAATGCCTTCGTTTTTCATCTTTTTTGTCTGGAGTTAAAAAGGAAAAGTGCAACAAAAAAACCTGAATGTTACTTCAGTATTCAGAAAGATTTTATAACGGAAAGGAAGTTGAGCTTCATAAAGAAAACCTAAGCAATATTTTGACATTTGAAATTAAGGCTTATCTATCCTTTTCCTCAAAAGATGACACAAAGAATGAACGCATGACAAAGACATGTATGAGACATGAACTCAACAAAGTTTTATGCAAAACTGAAGAAGTAAAATTTAGAAAATGTTTCATTTAAATGTTTACTGTTTAACTCCGTTAAATGATGATAGCTGCAGGGCAATGGAAAGTTTTGTTAAAAATATCAGAATCTGCCATTTTGTGAAGGGCTAAAGAATCTTTCAAATTATTGTTTTGAATTTCCCACAAAAAGCCTTGAACAAAACAATCAGCACATTTTTCTGGTATAATAAAAGAACAGGAGCTCTATTCTGTCCTGAAAATGATCAGGAGGCCACAAAACTGTATTTTCAGTGTTCCAAGTTACTGCTGCTCAGATTTGGTGGATCTGACATTTGTGGATGAACTGCTGCATCTTGCTCTAAAATAAAATCTACTGAAATAAGCTACAAGATAAAGGATTGTTTACAAACTTCCACAGATTAGAAATTAAAGGAAAGGAAATCATCCCCAAGAACAAACATCACTAGGATGTCTCGTGGTTAAGCCACTTGCTGTTTCCAATGAAATCTCAGAGATGGCAGTATGAACTTCAATCAGGGGAAGCTCAAGCATTTCACAATCTTCAAATCAAGTGAATTTTGGGGAAAACAACAGATGATTAATTCCCTGCATCATTCTGCAGGACACATGCAGCATTAAACACCGTAGGACAATTAAAAACCTGTCACCTACAAATTAAGTCACTACAGAAGATCAAAGCATTAAGCCAGTATTTTGCAGGTCATTAGCTTCTATCATAAATGACGTCAAAACTTCATCTTGAATTGAATGAGGTTTTTATTCTACGATTTAAAATTACCTGGCTCGATAGCAGCAGAAATTAATGACTGTGCTTCTCGTACTCTCTTCATAGCTTCTTCTATTTCTTTACTGGAGGTATCTGATTTCAGACTTGGTGAAACAAGACCTGCAGCTACATGGTTCAACCTGGTAAATAAAAAAAGAATTGTAGAAATCCAGTGTTGATGAATCCAAGAAATACATGCCTCCATTGTCAGTTTGCAGCCTGTTCAAAGTGACAGATCTAAGTGAATCGCAATCTGCCTGCGTTTTGTCATCATTCAGATAATAGACTAGTAAGTTTAAGATGCGGTATCTGTGCTGAAAACAGTGACTCAAGATACTAGCACATATGGCTCTCAGAATTCTGGTAAACTGTAAACAGCAGGAAAGTTTGTATTGTCATGACACTTTTGTATTGTAATGACACTTTTCAAATTTTTGCATGACACAATTTTAGTTCTCATCACCTGAAAGAGCTACTCCACAGGAAACAGTGTATTACACTGTAGGAAGTCAGCTTCCATTGTTATAGGCCATACTGAGAAGCCTACAAACGGTGATGAAATTTGAAGTTCAGAAGGTGTGTTCTGCAAGGTGGCTTTGAAGCCAACCAGGTATACCCAATATACAAGACATGTTTATCTAATCCATTATCTTGGGTGACTATTTTGTTCAATCAGTTACCCATTCCCTGCTTACAGAAATGTCAATTTAAAGTAGAGAATAATATGCCAGAACAGTATTAAAAATGAAGCTCTATCACATATATAGCTTTATCCCCTCGTCTAGATCAGACGGCTCTGACAATTTAAAAACACTGGAACAGCCAAACAGGGTTAGAAGAAGTCTATTTAGCTAATACAGCAGGAGGGCAAGCACACATTGATGTGCTTTCCTGAAGCTGAGAGTTAAAAGAATTCTCTCCAAAGCTTCCTGCAGTTCGCAGTACAAGCGCCTTCCGAGGCAGATGTGATTTCTTTGCATTTAGTAGACTTTTCATCTACTTATTTCTCTTACAGCTTTTTTTCAATGCCGTATGCTTTCATCATCCCATTGCAATGTTCTCAATAGCTTAACGGCACACTAATACAGTAAGTGCTACAATCCTTCCCTACTTGCTGTCCTCTATCATATCATTTGAACAAAATTATCCTTTTTCTGAATACTGAAATAAAAATTAGCAACTACTCATGCTTATTGTTATTTGCTCCCTTTTTCTACCAAGTAGTAAGACATGCCATATATTACAGCTATCAGACGATAACAAAAGACATAGACTCTTTTATTATTGTCTTTTACAACAGTTGCTGGTCTCGGCTCATTCTCAACCATAGCCCTTTCATTTCAACCTTGCAGGATATAAGGTGCTAGCTACCCCTTTACATTACGGACACAGAACTGACAAAAATGATGTAGGAAAAACTGAATTTCTGTCTCTAGCAAAATGAAATCCTGGAGATTAATTGGTGTTATTCCGCAGATGCAAGGCTGAATAATCTTCATTTCCTCCCCCTCTTCTCTCTACCACAGAAAAGAGTCAGCACAAGATCCCCAAGACACTACTTTTCTCCATTCAGCAGGACAAAGATTGGATACTGAATAACAACAGATATTCCCAAGATCAAGTGTATTGCAATACAAGTATTTGTAAACTGATGCTTACTTTGGATCCACTGTGCTCATAAGTTTTAGTAGCTGATCTGCTGCAAGAGACTGGGAGAAAAAAAAAAAAACAACACAGAAGTTAAAACCATGCTGGAAGATGTGTATGCTTAAGAAGATTATGTTCCTTCAATGTACCCTCAGCAGTGGCTAAAGCAAAAAGTCTCTACAGATGAAAAAAACAAAACACAACACACCTCAAGCAAGTTACAAATGAAAGGGCATATTGTTCTGCTTTAAAACTTGTGGATGGTGGTGAGGGTGTGAATATTGCATTTCAGTGGTGCTTAGGCACTTTTTTTTTCTACAGCAGCAAATATAGGCTCTTCCCTGGACAGAATCAAAGTGCTTTAAAATAAAATAAACTTCCAATATTTAGAGGTTATTTTGCTCTTACTTCAAGAGAACAGACACCTCATTAGAGAACTAAGTTGCCTGTCCATGGGAAGTCCTCAATGTCAATTTATGAACAATAAGCAAAAGCTTCTTTACTCTAAAAATGCCACAAAAAATGTATTTTACACCTCTTAGGAAAATCCAGATATTACTACAATTGGTCACTTCCCGTACCAGTGGTGTATTAACAACGAAGTGTTTAGTCCCCACTGATTTTCTTCACACAGAGGCAGTCATGTGCTGAACCCAAACAGTTTGTTACAAGCAGCGGGCTTAATGGACAAAGGAAACAATCCTTCATCATACCAAATTTGTATTTTTTCTAATATGCATTTAGAATCCTTATTTTTTCATTTGTTATTGCATTGTCACTACACAACATGCATAAAGAGAATGCTAAATGATGGATTTCTTAGCAATGCATTAAATTATTACAAGTCCTTGTACCTGTAAAACATGTTCTCTGTATTTGGTTCTTATATGTTAAATACTAAATCAATATTCTACTCACTGTTACTTAGTACTTAAAGTCTTTTTTTATTCAGTTTTAAAAAGACTGCAGTCTAACAGAGTCTTCTCAGTATTTTCTACACCTACAAAAGTCCAACAATTTTTTTTTAAACTGTAAGCACAAGACAGGTTCGTAGCTTGATAATGACACATATTTGAAGTATTTCATTACTAGTCCCAAATTATTTTTTAGGTCCTTCCGGTATTTAATTTGATACTCCTACAGCGTGACATACCTGAGAGTTTAAGTTTGCTCCAGGAAGCCCAAGAGCAGCTAGGGCAGGATCAAGAGCAGGAGCTCCTAAAGCAGCTAAAGGAACAGCACCAATCTGTAACAAAGACAGCAATTAGACAAAGCCATATTGAATGGACAGAAAGCTGTTAGATCAAGATTCCCAAGCATTAGACACATGGAAACTTGAACTAGGTTTTACTTAGGCTTCTAGCTACAGGAAACATTATACTAAGGTCAGTGAGAGTATTTCAGTTTTCCTTATTCAAGTATTCCAGTGCTTAGTTTTTTAAAAGATTTTTTCCTATAAATATTCTAAAATAGAATTGTTTCCTCTGCATCCCAACAGGCAGGAAAAAAATTAAAAGTAAAAAAGTAAAGCATTCCACTACATTCAAAAAATAGTTTACAATTAAATTCTTTTTCAGTGTTAAAATGAACTTTCATTATAAGTTTCTGAGCCAACCACCATACAATTAAATCAATTTAGGATGAAATTAACATGTTTTATGTTAAAAGACAATATAGCATTATTGCATCTCTGCAAATTTCTCAAATTTGGTTAAAACTGGCAAACGGGTTGAAAAGCTACTGGAAGAATAAGTAGCAAGACACATAGGACTGAATTCCTTAAATTAATCTAGAAGCCGCATTAAAAAAACTCATTTTTTTGCTATTTAAAGTGAGATGATCAAAACATACACTGAAACAAAACACATGCTGCGCTAAAAACCACGTCATCTTATGTTAATCAAACGCTGTCTGTTGCTATGAGGTCTTGCTCTCCCTTCCTTCCCACTGCCTCCTTTCTGACTGCTCTGGCACTTGAGACTCATTTGTCAACCAATTCGACCCACTGAGTCAGAGAGCTTCTTTTTGTGCTGTCTGCACCAAGCTAACACAATAGCTCACAAAAAGATCTGATGAGCTCCAGAGCCAGCATAAAAGCAGCAGAAAGAGCACATAGTCAAGAGCAAGGGAGAAAAAAAAACACGCTTCCAATTTTTAACCATGAGTTTTTCAGTTGGCTGATCCCTTGAAACAGCATAGGCTTCTCCCTGCAGTCTCAAAAGAAAAACCCACATTTCCACATACTGATTTTGTGAACATAAACTACAGCTCTAATTTGTTTTTACTGAGTTAGATGCCCAAATCCCAGTAATAGTCAAAAGGAGCTGCGTAACAAGCTTTCAAGATGTGTTTGAAAAAAAATGACCATTCACCACAATTTTTTGTAAAATGGATGTGTTAAATTCAACCATTAAGTGGACTAGGAGTAGGCTGGGATTCAGAGTGACAGAACTAAAATTAAGGTGGTACAACAATTATTTTCAGGAATTTATATACACACAAGTTTTTGGTGAAAGAAATCTTTTAAGATGGTATTTGTTTCTTCCATCCCTTTCCTCGAGTTTCAAAGTTAAGCTTTGGACTTTTCCCTCTACATACAGTTAAAGAGATCTTCTGAACAACTAAATGGCAAGTGTACCTTTCATGCAATCAGAAATCATAACAGAAGCTAACACAAAGCAGAGCTAAGCACAAGTTGAAGTAGTAGATTTGACAACTGCAGAATTAATGAAGCTTTATTCTTGTTTGCCTCTTGTACTTTGACTCTCTGTTCTCTAATAAGATACGTGCTTTGACTGAAACTTTTTCCATAGTGTATTATTTTTACTGTTCATCTTCCACACAAATTCTTGTGTACTTACATAATGAGCAAATACAGGCTACAATTTTTTCCCCTCAGGTGGAGTATTAACGGAAGGTATCTCCACAGCATGTCAACTCCTTGAACTTCAAGAATTTAAAATCTACAAGATCTCTACTGCTTGTCAAATCTGTCTGTAAGCGTACAATGGATAAAAAAGGGATGACAGATATAAACACAGAGCCCCTGAGATACCAGAAGCATCATATTAGGGAAATAAAAGCATCCCATCTAGCAACTTATCACTGGTTTGCCACAATTCCTATCAGATAGCTGTTAACAATCCATTAAGGTATTTAAACTAAAACATTCTATGAATCAGCATTAGCACATCAGTCTATTTGTCCAGAAAAAAAAACAACAGAAAGTAAGTTAAAATCTTACAGAACACATCTAATCGTTTCCCTTGACTTCAGTCTAACTGGAATGCCTACCTGAGAAAGTGGGTTGGGAGTAGGCAGGAGTCCACCTCCGGGCAGCAGACCTGCCACAGCATTAGCTGGTGCCAAGAGAGACAAAGCCTTAGTCTCATCAGGAATAACTCCTGCAGAGAAATAGCCTTGCATTAGAATGCATTCCATTTCAAAGGCAGAAAATACACAAATACACCCAGAAAATGTCTCCCTGATACACCACCTGAGTTTGTTGAAAGTACTTATGTTGGCTAAAATACAAAGCTTGATGTCTATTAATATTTATCATTAATTTTTTTGTCAGAATGAAACTTCAATGTGTGAAAATTTGACTGTTCCTTTTTCTCTACAAATGGTTAAGTTTCTAGAGCAAAAAATAGCACAATACACACTACTTTTTTGTTAACACTGCCAAGATTTCATCACCTGTACTCGATTTTTAAGTCATGAACCAAACGTAAGCAAGCACAGTCGGTTCTCCAGGGGTGTGCTCTCAACTTTCAAAAGCTGTTTTATGAACAACGACTCGTGTCGGCTGCTTCACTATAAAGCACACAGAAAAATCAAGATACACAAGACAAAAAAAGTTTGATTTAGGGGTTAATAATATGGTACAGTTCACTATGTTTTCTTTTACACCTACCATATAAATTTTGTAAACTTAAGAGAAGGTATGGAAATATTTTTTGTTGAATCAAGCGTAGGGCTTTTGCTGACTTGTCAAATGAAAATGAAAGTCTCTGCAGATCTTCAAATACACCCTGTGTATGTGTGTCTGTGGGTGGATGGGTGCATACATACAGTATATTGTGGCACATTCCTTACCTGTGCAGTAAAATGCATTTGTTCCAATATGTGCCATGCTTATTGTACCAAGAATGCTGCTACATACTGCCATTTCAGAAGAAACTTCTGGCCCAAAATCTTGCAGCCAACTAAGACAAGTGTCTTATTTTACTGCCTGCTCTGCACATACAATTTTAAGGGTCCTACTACGAAACAAGTAATTATGTAGGTATTTTTATTCTATCCAACAGCAAAAGCCCTATACAGATGGATTAATTTGTTAATGTGCCCAAGCCCCCAAAATGAGAGTTCAATAAAACAATTTTACTATATATTTGCAAATACCAGTAGTGTTTCTGCAATACATATTAAGAAACTGCATCTCATCATAAAACATACAATATGTACAGGGCACTTAAGAGAAACTGGATAAGCTGCAGAAGAAAACTGTTGGGTGGTATTTTCAGCAGGGCCTGGTATATAGTTCAGGCTGAACCAGGGAAAAGAACTGTAAAACACAACAACAAAAAAGAAAAACCACTGTTAAATAAAGGTAATGGTTCCTTCCACCTATACTGAGAAGTGCCGATAATATAAACAAATGTATAATACACAGCACTGTTATCTTGCTTGTGTCATTGAGCTGTCATCAATTTAGATACCAAAAGTTATGGAGGGAGAGGGGGGAAAAAGGTCATTTAGATAAAGGGCATTAATGCATAAATATATTAACATACCTACAGAGAGATTATGGGGTAATTTTGCATGCAAAATTATGTCTCAGAGGATATTTATAAATTATATCTAAACATTTCAAATTAGTGCAACTACAACATTTCTGGCATCTAAATACAAATCCTCAGACTTATCTTGAGACACCTCATAGAAGATCTGCATCCATTAAAAAAAATCATGCATCTGATCCTCTAATTGTTTTTTTTAAAAAGTATTTAGAAATAAATAAACTACAATTTTAAAAAAAGCAATGAGGCCCCTCACCAGTTAATTTTCATGCTTCAAGAGTTTTTTTTACTGCTGCTTTGTTAGAACCATGAAATACTGCATGAATGTGTAGAAATGAAAGAAAAAGAAACAGACAAAAGAAACAAACATTAACCAAAGAACCTAAATACCCCCCCCAGCCATCTTTAATCTTAGAGTTCCTTCCAAATCTAGGAATATCACAGTGAAAATTACAAATACTAAACCTTACCGTAGACTTTGTGTATAGTTCTATAACACAAAGCAACAGCCAACACCAAAATGTCTGTGTATGCTAAAACTGGAGTGCGCTTGTGATATAGGGGATAATTATTGCACTAAACAGATAATAAACATTTAGTTTAGTGACAGGCAATATTAATACAGAATTATCACAATAGAAAAATAAAAGATAAAAGGGCCCAGAACAGCACAGTAGTTAAGCATATGCCTGGCTTTAAGCACACAAGCAATTTCACTATGATTTTAAGAATCTTGCTGTATCGTGCTTAAACAGCTTGTTGAATTGGGACCCTGGCAGTATGCATTTGCATGGAAAACTATACTCCAGTACAGGGACAAAAGCATACGGTTACAAAACCAGGGAGCATAACTTTATTGGCTGAACATATCTCTTGTGATATGCCACATCATTATGCCACAAACATCAACATTCTGAACTGCTAGAACACCACAAGAAACAGCCCATGGGGAACTCCTCGATTTAAACAGGCCCATTAAAATAATCTACTTTATGAATTTTATTTTCTTTACACAATCTGAACCAAAACTACTGGGCAGATTTCTCTATGTGCCAGATTTATCCACCATCAAGCACAATGGACAAAGTCAGACTGACAAAGAGAAAATATTTTTATCCTTATTGGAAAAGTTAAACACTAACATTCTTGACCATGGGCCTTGGAGAATATTTCAGTACTAACTCAGATGGACTGTTGCTATATCATGCTTTAATACAAAGATGAGGACAAGATGCCTTTCGACTATGCTATTATACCTGAACTAGCGAAAGCAGAAGCAGTAACTCAATGGCAATTTCAGAATGTGTTCTGTACTCTCAAAAAGCAGCATGTCTCAAAGTTCATGCTGCAGATTCCTACATTCCAGAAATTGAGTTTTCATATCTTTTAAATTCTAAGGAATACAAAGATAAGACAGTGCCCCAGGCCTCCAAAGACAGCCTACAGCATTACAGTGGCTTGATTATAGGTCTGAACCCAGGCCATGTACCAAATACATTACTGTAGCATGACTTAATCTGCAGAGATTTTATTTAATTCAAGCGATCTGGGAAAATCCATTATTTCAGAAGTAAATCAAGAAACAGTACAATGGAAATCAATTACTTCTAAAGCAAGTCTAGAAGAGTTTAATAAGACTTCTGTAAGAAGAGGTGTCTTCTCAGCACTTTGTTTTTAAGGTAAGTTCCAAAAACCCTGCTCATTGCCTTTCAAATTACTGTAACACCCTAAAATGTAAAAATAAAAAGAAGAAGAGAAAATGTAGTTAACAAGTGGTTACACCAGGAAAACACTTGGGGACTTGAGTGCTTGCTGGCCTTTAGTTAATGTCTAGAATCCCCTGTAGCTGCAGAGGACCCACTGTTTTTCAGTCATCTGGAAGGGCTTTGCATTTGCCTTCTCCACTACAAAAATCACACACACAAATAACAGAGAGAAGAGTTTATTATTTAGTGAAATTCTATAAAATATATCAAGGATGAACAAGAAAACTTGGAATAAAAAACTAGTACCAGTGCCCATTTGGCACCTCTTGGAAGATCTCACTTTCAAATTAAGCCATAATTATTCAAACCCTTGGTATACTGGACTTCGCAAAGAGAGCGAGTGCCTTTTCAGGGAAGTTCCCAACTAAATGCAGTGGCAGCATATCTCAAAGAAATATTAATCTACTCTCCCATGTACTCTCAGGGAGGGAGAAACTATTCTCATTAAGAGATTTATGTCTATATGAAAGTGGCAAACACATAATTATTAAGGAAAAATCTCCTTAAAATGATGACCTGTTTGCAGAAGTCTATTTAGGCAAATGTCTCACTGAGACTGATAAAGAACAAAATTTGCAAATGATTCTGCCTAAAATGTTAATATTCTAAACTTAGAGACACACAAAATCAGTAAGAGGTAAACTTTCCACTTTCATTCAGTGTCACTATATACAAAAAATTATTTAATCCTTGGGCCAATGGCAATATACCAAGGGTTTCAAAATGTTAATATCTTACATGTTTCACATTTTACTAATCCTAATTTTTGTGAACTATACTGGAATAAAATGCCACCATACAGTGGCTTCATAGGCCATTAAACAATTCACAAACCTTCTGCATATGGTACGACTATCAACGCTCTGTCAACGAATACAGTGTTTGTCAGATGCTGGGCCACAACTGCCGAGTCAGGATCATGGAACTTTACAAAACAGACACGCGATGAAACAGGCAAAGGAGAATCACTGAAAAAGAAATAAATATATTACTTAGATGGAAGTAAGCCTGCCAGTATGAAACTTGTAACTTCTACTGTCTCCCCACTTTCATCAAACCAGGAATTCATGGGGGACTATGGGATACTTCTCTATGCAATAACATGATTTCAGGTTTTGTATCAAACATCATTTTGCGTGACCACAGATAGAAAATTACACTGAATGAAGTCAATTCACTGTAAAATTGAAGAAATAGTTTTATCGCCTCATTTGTGACTAGACATTAATTCAATTATGCACAATAGATCTATGACCAGTCACCTAAATGCAAATTAGTCATGACCTGTGAGAAGGGAAGGAGACGAAGAATAACTTTGCTCAAGAAAGATCAAAGTTACCTACTACATATACCGCACAAGCTAACAAAACCAGTAGTTTTACACTATATGCTTTAGGCTCCAAATTACTTATTAAGGTAAATTATGAAACAAAGAGGGTAATGATTACTATTTTTACGTAGTAAAATTACTACGATTTTACTTATCAATTTCATAAAAGCATCTAGACCAAACTTCATCATGCTGCTTCTAACACGTACAGAAACTGCCAACTTCATTCTGAAGAGATGTACACTGCTAAACATGTGTGTCTCATTCAGCAGTAACAGATCTAAACACAAAAATTCAAGAAGCTCAGGTAGGCAACACTACAGTTGACATCTCATTAATGGGTGAAAAGTTCCTAAATAAACCATCTTTACTAGGTAGGTCTGTACCTACTCCACAGCTCACACTGAGCATCTGTCACCAGAGCTGTGTAAAAAATCCCAGACATGGAACATCCAAGAGACTGCACAAGTTTTGAGTCACTTGAAAAAAACAGAAATATCCACTTCCTACAACAATAGGAAAGAATTGTAGGCCATACAACTATGCCCCCTCCCCTTCCCTGAAACAAAACCAAACCCCCCAAAAACAGAGGCAGAATGAACCCACACAAAGACACAACTGTGCAGCTAATGAGTTACAAGCTGCCTCCAGCAGGCACAGGGCAGGTACTGAAAGGAGTAGCAAGTCCTAAAACCCTAGTTCCTAAACATGGCCAGGGTACGTGTGTCTCAGTTCTGCCCTCAAGTACCAGAGGTACAAATTAGCCTAAAGAAGCAGCTCTATTCACTAATTCTTCATGACAAAGATCTACCTCTACTAACTAGATTCCCAGAAACAGTTACGAGACTAACTCTTCAAAGTGCATCCCACTGCCAAAACCACTTTATCTGTGCTGAAGAACGTTGATCAAGTCTTTAGCACTGAAAGCACAGAGTTGTCAGAGTTCAGGAGAAAAGAGAATGACTTTGACATCAACAAGAAAGACATCCAAGATCTATTTTTGTTAGTGCAAATGCCAAAAACTATCTAACCTTCAACACCACTGAGCATAGGCTCAGCCCAACATGCAAGTTATGCAAACTCAAGAACTGCCTAAAAAGTCTATCAGATCACTCTCTAATATACTTTAAATTTAACCTGATGTTAAAAACTAGATTGGAGCGAGCATACTGCAGCTTTTAAAATATTAAAATTAGAAACATACACTTCATTCAACATCTTTAATTGGGAAGTAACACTGTATCAATAAATGGCACAGAGATAGAAAAATTGAAAATATTAGTTCTTCTGTATCTATAAATACACAGTAGCTTGCCAAGATACTACCTTTTCTTAAACCATTTGCATAAAAACATAAAAAACAAAGAAGCATTAGCAGACGGTGTTTAACAAAATCACAGTAATAAAGTTTTAAAGAAAAGTAAATCAAGCAGCTATGGTATACCTGAATGGTATGCTAATCTAAATTCTAAAAAAATTGAACAATTTATTACATAAATACAGTACAGTATATAACATGGGAACATGAAACAGTGCAGATACTGTTTATATACATGAGTACCACCATGACTAAACTGAACAGCTAGCTGAACCTACCAAAACAACTGAAAATGCATAAGGCTATGCTTATGCAGCCTGACATTTTAATATACATCAGTGTATTTAATTTTTAAAAATGTATTTCCAGTCACTCTAAAATCCAAGCTGTGGCTGAGCGAAATTCATCAAGAACAGAATGTTCTCAACAGTTACCAAAAAAAGGCCATCATTATTCTAATTCACCAGAGATTGAAAAATTTAGTAATTCTTTCACAGACATCATGCCAATAAATGCTGAGACACACGACAATTCACTGTGGTTGGTGTCTGAACAATGTACCCATTCTGGAGTAGATTCTGAAATACAGCAGATGAACAGAGAAATCCAACCTTTGTATCGTAAGCTCTAACTACTCGCTCCACTAAAGCTCCCTCATATCGCTACCAGCATCTTAAATATTCAATCTGATCTTTTTTTTAAGGCATATTTCTGCCACTTAAGTAAACATTATAGCTGGCATTATTACTGATGTAAAACCAGGCTGGAGTGAATAGATTATCCATGCAAGAGATGTTCTTCAACATTACCATGTTCATTGGGTGGGAAGAAACAGAATTAAAACAGCCAACCAACCCAAAAAAGAACCAAGTCATGTGCTTCACTTGGAAACAGGAGCTGTCATCCTTTTCTCAGCAGACCAACTACCAGTGGCAATTGCAAGTAATGCCAGTATTCTGACAGAGTCCTTGCATAACTTTCAACAGCAGTTATTAGACAAGGCAAAAGATCTTGCCAATTACTATGCCATCCAACATATGAAAGTATTACTAAGTATGCTCCAAATTTTATCAAGCTTTAACTCTGTAGACTGTATTTTCCATCAGATGTGCTTTCTTCTTGGTAAAATTCTCTGTCCATAAAAATTTGACTGGATCATTCATATCCAAAGAGCAAGACCAGAGAACTCATTGTTTTCTCTATCAAACACCAGTGGCATAAGACCCTATGTCCAAGTTTCAGAGCAGAAACTTAAGTTTTGATGGAAAGGCAGTTTTCATATGCTCAACAAAATATGCTGGAATCAGCTTTTATATGTATGTGTGTGGGTGTGTATGTGTGTGGGTATACACATACACCCACACACACCATTTTTTTGCACAGAGGAAGAGCACTCTCAGAAAACCATTCCCTCCACTTTTCATATTTGCCTACCAAGGAAGATGAATCTATATGGAATACAACAGTCAAGGACCATGCAGTGGAGTTTAGAAAAGGCAGAAGGAGGAGGGAAGAAAGTGTTTGGGGAGGAAAAATGGAAGAAGTCATAGAGCTGGTTGTGGATTAAAGACGTAATATGAAGTTGAGGTACACATAAAATGTGTAATAGCCGATTAAATAAACTGGGATAAGGAGACGGATGAGGGGAGAGAAAAGAGAAACAGAAATGTAGAGAAGCTCGTTAAGTTATATCTGATCTGGAAATAAGGTCAGGAGAATAAGGAACCTCTACAAGGGACAGCAGAATCAGAGTGACTGAGAGAAGGATTAAATAGAGATGGAGAACAATGGAAATGGGACTGTTTACTCAGAAATACTATATGCAAGAAAGAATCCCAGTATAATCTGGGACATAAAAAGATTTCAAATTATGGAGAGAATTTACAGATTATAATTTATATCCTGTACCCCCCCAAAAATGGATGAACACCATGGGCAGGGAAAAGTCAGGACCTAAAGTTTAAATAAGGAACAGAAAAGGCTTTAGAAGAAACTGATAAAAGAACCTGCCACTATTAGAAAATACACCCCTCTCTGGTGTGAAATGAAATTGGAGGTTCTAAAGCATTTCAAGACCAGATCCCTGAGCACCCCAACACAGGCCTGCAGTGGGTTTAGAGGTGCCACAGCCCTTGGTATCTCTGCATGGACAGCAACACAAAGGAAATGACACAAAAACTCCTTAAAATAGTAAGGTTAAAAATTAACCCCAGTCCAAAAAAGTGCCTGGTCCAGTATTAACTGTACAACCTTTATATACAGTTTTCAAAAATGCTATTTTTCCACCAAGACATACATTCTAGAATGAAAATATATGATAATGTTCACTTCAATAGCTATTCAATATTTTCTACATCTTCTGCGCAAGGCTTATTTAGTTACACAATATTTCCTGCTCTGTATTAATTTCTTCCTGACTTCTCTATAGTTATAACTTTTTCACAAAAAACTAAGAAATCTTTACAATATCCCTACAAGATGAAGAAGTATTATGCTCCCCTTTCATTTAGGGCCTTGAAATGCAAAAGAAATTTAGGCCAAATATTTTAAATAATTTTTAGCCATCCAATTTGAGATATCTGGCACCTGGATTACCGGAGTTATTTGCATCTTGTTGCCTTTTCTCCTGCAGCGCACAGCCTTCACTGACACAGCTGTGAAAGCAGTCAACTTGGTATGTTTCTACACCAACAAAATGACCCAGCTGAAGTGACAAGACCACCAGTGCCAGAACAAAGGAGGCAGAAGGCAGCAGTCAAATGCAGGAGCCCAACCTTTTTGCAGAAAGAAATACAGAAGGATACAAACAGTAAGTTTGCCCTCAAGACTGGTATCTGCTAGTATCTGCTAGTATCTAACTAGCACCAAACATTACAGCCACAAGGGTACAACGCAGCTCTCCCTGAAGACAGATTTCTTCTCTTCCCACAGCCCAGCTCTACAACATATACATCACAGACTTCTCTCCAGCACACAATCCCAAGGCAGATCCAGTGCTTGTACTGAGTAGGGCCCTGTGGGGCCAGTATTTCACTACATGTTTGTGTCAAGGAGCCAAATGAAGAATGTATAGACAGTCTTAAGTATGGTAAAAGGTGCTGGGCTGGGCTTTGGATTTGGGGATTTTCTGTAGAGTATAACTGCTTCTGTTTAAGGCGAGCTACTTTGCTGGCTGCCAAGCATTAATGGTTCTGCCATTTAAGTATAGTTATCCCAGCTATTAACAATGCAACTCGCATGTCTGGAACTCTCCCTCAGTTTCAGTTATATATATATTCCATTTCCTTCTATGCTTTTATGTCCAACATGAAATTGCCAAA